GGTGTGCAAAACGAGCGTCGGTAGTGCAGCGGTTCAGCGCACGCTCTCGTAAGGAGGGAAGTCTGGGTTCAAATTCCAACTGACGCAAACGTTTCTGCGCACCATTCTACGTCATTGGGTTTTTTAAATATTTCCTTCTAAAAAGGAGCAAATATCCTAGTTGCATTGAGAAAAAACGCAGTAAACATACAGGTACTATCGGATGCTAAGGACGTTTTGATTGTGGAAAAAAATCTGTTTGGTCTGTTCAATTGAAAGAAACTAAAGGCGCATTTATATCATGATGGCGAAACAATAAAGAAGTAAATGTATTCTGCAATTTCAAAATCCGTATTGGTTTGTATGTAAACGTTCTTTCATATGAGTGAGTGAAAAGTCCACCAGGTAGTCAATGCGGATAAACTCTCTGAGTTCCTAGAATCCGATTACAACTACGACACACAATATAGCGTCCAGAATGTAAGCTCAAGACTGCGCCTAGTAGTGCCGTCGGTGCTCCCACATCGTCGCGCACGTGGCGGCTCGGCGGCGAGCAGTTCGAAGTGACCAGTGCGTCGTGCTGCCGTCCATCAGGAAGAAGGTTTCTGGTTTGATTACCTATTATGACGCTCCACTATGAGTTTTTTGGTGCTATCTTTTTGAGATCGACTAGTGTTGGATGTTCTTCTATAATGTAATAATCACAACAAAAACACTCAGTTGCCACTCTTTTTGATAAACGTTATATGGCGACTGATGTCTGATGCTCATTGTATTGATTAGATAGGTTTAACTTCTCTAATATTTAAGACTTCCACTATTTTTGCTGAATTTTCGCAGGGGCTTGATAAATGGATTGTACGTGAAAGAACTGAGTGCTGAGCAAAAAATTCGACCTCAGGAGAGAGTTTGATTCGCGCTTCACCCACCATGAGTGAAAAGCGGGTTCAGCTCACCCTGAGTTCGAATTTTGGCTCACCACTCAATTCTCCTATGTGCATTTAATCCCTCTGTACTCAAGGTTTTTGAAATTCATTTATAGCTTGTGCCATGTATAGAATAGTGATCTACGAGGTACTCATTTCTGGTTTTATAATGGTGATGCAAGTCCTTAAAAGTTTAAATGGTATTTGTCCGTTACGAGCACCTGTTTCGATTCCTTGAAATACACATTGCAACAAAAGTAGTATCATGTTAATCGTTAGAAATTTCCCGCTCAACGAAACTTTTTCTCAGGAGTCTTAGCAACGCTTCCGATAGCTTGAAGGCAGCCGATTCTAATGACGTGCTTGGTTTTTGAAAAAGACTTTTTAGTGGCCGCACAAGCCGAAAGAGTGTTAGGTCTTGGGCATCACAACATGAAACCAAATCACCTGCTTTGCCGGTAGAAGGGTAGGAACTATGCAACATGACCGCCATGCCACTGCGCTTTTGTCGATGCCAAATTTGCGATAAGAAATTTCTTTTGCATGTTTCAGAAAACTAAAAAAGTCTTCTTCAAAGGTCAGCTACGTCATCTGAAGCGGCGGAATTCAAGCTACTAAGTGGCTGATGAATTTGGAAGGGAAAGCATTGGTGCTCGAGGAACGCTTGAATGAGAAACGTAATTTAGTCCTTGCTATCACAGTGCAGCAGTAAAGCCATTTTGAAAACAGGTAGACCATTATAATTTTTGATTTATGCTACTCGGTTGACTGCTCAGACTTGAAAACAATCAAAAATTTTTCTTTCAAGAGCTCGAAACAAGGTGCAGATAACGAAAAAAGTACTGTTGGCATATCATTATATACTCGTGGAAATGCGCGTATTGACAAAGAACGAGAACAGGCTGGCCATAATTGAACGATAAGTAGCCGTCAGAAAAAAAGGCGAATAACGTTTATTTCTCAACTTCGTGGTGTTAGCTACTTTGTAAAAGTTGCTATTTTCGATGGGGATTGCTAAGTTAAGGGAATGTCCGTCTTCAAAGTGCTGTGATTGAAGTTTTCATAGTTTACCTGCGAAATTCTGATGTAAGGGAATGGAATCTTCAAGATTTAATGCTGTCAGGAAATTATTATGTCCAAAGGATCTCACTATCAAAATCATCTACGCGTAAATCTATCGATGTGGAGGCTGACGAATCGGATGATAAGTAGCCATCACGGCGAACCGATCGACTCAATGATTCTCATCTTGCACTTGTGGGCTGCCGGCGTATTTTCTTATTCTATGGGATTTTCAAGGTGTCATTTCTTTTTGCTCTTGTTCTTTTTTTTTCTTGCTTTTGCTCTCAATGTGATGAGATCAGTTATGAAGAAAAAATAGCAAGATGCGAAGACGAAAGTTCAACGATTTTTCACGAAACCAATTGAGTATGTAGGGATCGACTGGTAAAGGCCTTTCAAAAATGACTGGTGTCGCAATTCCGTATTTGTTTGATGAGAGCGGTCACGAGGTTGGAGTGGTAGCTGGACGGCGGCTTCGGTGAACTAGTGGGTAGCACGCGCCTCCTGGTAGTGGTGAAACGCAGGTTCGTCTCCTGATCAGTATCGATGTTTTGCATACCACCCAACAATGTCGCATGTGTTAACAAAGCAATTTATCTAGCAGTACAATAATACAATATATTATTCTATTCGCTGCATTGAGTTCTATACGATGAGATCAACGAAGTTATAGCCGAGTCGACTGCATTAGTCTGATCTCTAAGCTCTAAAAAAGGCAAAATCGCCGAAGCGACAGACAATCAACTGTCTTTGAAGCCTCGTTCTAAAATTCAGGAGTCTAGAGGACATCAGTGACTTGCGTACGTTTCGGCAGTATCGTCCGCCTCATTAGAGCCACATGCCCTACGGTTCACCCCAAGAGCAGGGATATTAGCAGATAGGTAAGTTGAGATACGTAAAATACCATCTCTGCTAGGGGTAAGCCATAGGGCATGTAGCTCTTATAGGGCATACGAGAGTGCTGAAACGTACATAAGTCAATGACTCACCAGCCTCGGAGAGGCTTGAAATATTCCCTCAGACTTAAATAGATTTTCAAAACCCCTGGTTGAGCAATGGCAGCAGATAGATCAGGGAAGAGACGTGAATTATCATCCCTGCTATTAGTATGGGTGAGCCATGGGGATGAGGCTCTGATGAGGCGGGCGAGACGGCTGAAACGTAGTGAATTACCGGAACGGCTTGAAACCTTCTTTTAGACAGCCCATAATGTGCTGACTAAATCCTGTTGCCATCAAGAACGACGAAATTTTTGCTCTATGCTGAGGTTAACCGATAAATCGAAATTCGATTGATCCTGGGTTTCATAGATGTCATCGTCATGAATCCAACAATGTTTCTGAACATTTAACACACATTCACACACACGATATTTGCCCTCCTTTGAGCGCTTAAATACTGCACTTACAGAGCTTGTTTGTTGATTAATGGACTCCATCTGGCACACCTTTATTACGCTTTTTTGGTCAGACGTACCTCGGTCGTATCATCTGAGATCTGTGAACTTATTGAAGAAATTCCTGGTAGAAAGTGCTTGACTTTAGGCGGGAACTGAACCCGTGATTGACCTCTACCGTAAGCGCACACTACCACAACACCACAGAAGTCACCGCTGTGCTTCCACTTTTATTGGGGTTTAGTTCCTTATCAATTGAACGTATTCAAATGATTCTCATGATCCTGCAATTTTCCGTTGAGAAATCCTTTTGTTAGTAGCGGATTAATCTTTGTATGATCTCCAATATTGTCCTCATCGTCATCGTTATCTTCTATCTTCATCTATGATCCGCTAGAAATCTATTTCGTGAGTGTTTGCTCCTTTCCTATCAAGAAGACAAATGTTTTTCGACACTTCACTCTTTGAGACTTTCGAGCAGTATGCAAGATATTCAAGACCAGAATTATTTTTATTTGACCGATCTGTAGCAGTGGTATGGTGCTACAAACACACCCAATGATGATGAGTAATGTACAGAACTTTTTTGGGTTCTTCTCAGTCATAAGGGAACAAATGAATATTCGATCTCATTTGCTGTTCGAAAGCTTGAATCTCTGGCTAGAGCCGCACAGGGTCGGTTTTCAAAAAGACTCTTTCAAAACGCTGTAACATTTGAAATAAAATTATGCTTTACATTGGCCACGCAATCCAACTATTACTTCGTTGAGAGCCACGAAAAGCACATGAATAAGTGGAGAAAATCTTTCAGTATTAGAGTTAGGCGTTTAATCTGGAGTTTCAAGATACATTCCCAAATGAGTTACAAGAAATGGCTTCTACTTTCCTATGGGTTCCGGAAGAGCTAATCGTTCGACCGGCTTGTTGGAAACGGCCACATCCAACCTGCGTCCTACTCCGTAGAAAGGCCAAAACTCATTGCGCGCGTATGTAAAATTGATGTTATTTTCCCCGCTGCTTTGCAGAAAAAAAGGCTTTCCTGAAAAGAAGCACAGCGCTTAGGTCTTCAAGTCTTACGGTATCGAATGATCACTGATAGTCTAAAAAAACAGCTTTGCTTGGCGGGAAATATGCGCGTGTGAAACATAATTTTATCTCGAACTTTGAAGCATTACAAAAAGGTCGTCTCGAGAAACACTCCTATGAGAAGTTCTTGTACAGCAAATAAGGTCGAACATTCACTTTGTTCCCTTATAGCCGAAAAGTACCCTTTTTTGCGTCAGCCGGGACTCGAGCGACCATTTCACCCAATCCAAGGGCCCGTGCTCTAATCGGTTGCACTACCAGCGCCTGTTTTACCACCACTCTTTCTATGCTACAACGCATCAATCTCTCAGCAACCCGCCGTCAGCAGTTCGATGTAGTAGTCGATATCGGCACTGAACCCAGTTACGCTGACAGATATTGGATATATATGTTAGAGACAAGAATTTTTTTTATTTAACCGCCGCTAACTTGTACATCCAATATCTGTCAGTGTAACTGGGTTCACTGTCCACATCTTCTACCTGGGCCGAACCGTTAAGGGTTGGCTGCTGTTGATGTGTTTTAGCAAAAAAAGAGTGGTGGCAAAACAAGCGTCAATAGTGCAGCGAGTTAAAGCATGCGTTCCCTGATAGGGTGAAATGCGGGTTCGAGTCTCGCCTGACGCAAGGAGTTTTGCATATCACTCTAGGTGTTTGGGTATATTTATAACATCATACCACCGCTAAAAGCGGTCAAATAAAAAAAATTCTATTTCATCATTCAATACCCGTTACCTATCAGCGCGACTGAGTTCAGTGTTGTTATCGAATACCACACGAAACCGTTGACGGTTGGTTGCTGACAAATTGACTGCGTTGTAGCGTGCAAATAGTGGGGGGAAAACAGGCGTCGGTAGCGCAGTGGGTAGAGCACGCTCCCTCGGATAGAATGAAGTATGGGTTCGAGTTCCGCCCAGCTCAGAAAGTTTTGCACTGCACTTAACAACATTCAGGGTCAGTGGAAGTTACCACCGACTCTTACAACTCTCTTCTACCATTTTTTTTATCGTTTTACCTCTTAATTTGGGTTTGTTTCGACTACGGACATGGAGTTGTTTGAAAATACTGACCAGTTTGATTGCGTTTGATTGAACGGAAGACAGTACAGACCAGTTTGTGATCGTTCGGCCATGCTAATGCAATTGATTTTGTACAGTCGGAGCGTATCCGACTACTTTCCTCCAAAAATTTCTGGCCTCTTTGATCGATCGGCAGATGTAAAATGCTCTTTAACAGATAGCAAAAGGATTACTTATCATATATACAATAACGATGATTGATGTAAGGGACTTATAAGCTCGTCATGGAAGTGAACCCGGGTCTTATCCTGTCGGGGGGGGGGGGTGCTAACCATTGCACTACCGGGTATCAGTGAGTAATCATTGTATTCATTGACTATGCGATGCCAAAAAAATGCTTATATACCAAAAAAGCAGAAGGAAACGAGCGGCTTGGGGAACGTTTAAGAGCATCGAAGATATATTTAAGAGGACAATAAACATCCGACTCTGTGCCCACCTTTTCAACTTGACAATTATCCTTGCCCTAACGTATGTAGCAGAAACGTGGTCGCTACGTAAGCAGGATGAAAGATCACTTGGCGTTATCGAACGCGCAGTCGAAAGATCGATGCTAGGAGTATCCCGTATCTCGCAAATGAGAGAAAGGATCCGAAGTCCAGACCTATGTCAACGATCGAGAATCAAAGACGCCATCCTACACGCCGGGATATCAAAAATAAGGTGGGCCGGACACGTGATGCGCTACAGCGACAACCGATGGACGAGAGCCGTTACCGACTGGATTCCTTGGGACATTAAGCGCACTAAAGGAAGACCACTGACCCGCTGGTCCGATTTCTTCACGAAAGCGATAGAAGAAAGATATGATGCTCAGCGAATTCACAGATCGAGGAGGACCCACTGGGCTACTCTTGCACGCGACAGGGAAAAGAGTTGCTGGTACCCGCTCGAGTCACTCGACGATCAACGGGACGACAGGTGATACAGGTGATGCGATGCCAACAGTGTGTGTCTGGACGTCTGTACCTCATTCTCGTCGCTCTGAAACGATCGATATAGATCGACACAACAGCTAATTTGGACGTGTATATTCTTATCTTGAGACGATGCTTTCATCGTCATCACCTCGATTTGATGATGCTAATATAAACTTTTGGTATTTATATAAGATTTTGTTTAATGATAAATGTCTTCTTTTCTTGTTCTATTTATTACTGTCTATTTGATGAACTGTAAACTTTTTTGATTGACTTTATCGATTGATTTTCATATAATGGAAAATCTCGTTGGGCTAGTTATACGACAACATGATTAAACGCTCTTTTGTGAGTGATTCTCCATCAACGCAAAACTTTTCCTTTCATATTGCTCTGAACTCGATTATCCTATAGCGAATCGTCGATTTCTAAAGAAATCTGCCAACTGAAATATTGATTTTTGTGATTTTGATTGATCTCCGTAAATCAAAAGGTCAAAAAAAAAAGTTTCTGTCGGTATTTAAGGAAATTTGCCAACTTAATTATTGGTTCTTGCTATGTTGATCGATCTTCGTGAAATGAGAGATCATAAAATGTACGTTTTCGCACCTGTTTGCAGTAGTTTTTATTGCTTTGATTGTTGAGTAGTAGTTTTATAGCGACGGGAATACAATGATACAATGGCTGATTATCTTGTGATACTTGATTTTTACAATATTTGTAGAATTACTGTACCTTTCTTCCTAGAAATATCACTTCCATTTTTGTCGGAGCTTCAGAAGGAATTAGCGGCTGGCTACCGGAAAAAAGAGAAACGAATCGCAAGAGACAGAAACCATCGATACCTTTATAGTTACCGCATTATTTCCATATATTTTATGTTATCGTGTTGGACGTGTTCTCTTGGAGAATTTTGTCTGCGCTCTGGAATCAATTAGCTCTTTCGGGACTATGGACCCACCTCCTCTGCATCTCTGACCCCCGACGTGACATTACGCTAGGCGCTCTGCTCCACGTACTCTTCATCTCTAGCCCCCACCTTGGAAACATTGTATTCTTGTTGCTATTTTCTTTCGATACGTTGCACGTAAATATGTTAAGTTGGTAGCTGGACAAATTGCAACAATAATACAGTTGAAATAAAGCAGTAATATATTTAATGCGTTCCTACGTGCTTAGGAAGTGGAGCAGACCGCCTAGCAATGATTTCAGTGATAGAGGAGTGGTCGTCTGCCACGCAGACGATCTGGGTTTGATTCTCAGCCAACGCGCCAAGAATTTTGGTGATTTGTCTCACCTTGAAAGTTGATTGCTCAACTGTTTGATTGATTGTGTTTGTCTTATATGCCACGTTTGAACCTTTGTGGAAACTTTCTTTTGGATGGATTTGTGGTATTTGCTTAGTATCTGGCAAAATTTTTTTTTCCGTGAACATCCGTTCAGCAAAGTTTCCCTTTCCAATGGGAGAGCGGTCCGTAGAGTATTCCAACTAGGTTTTTTTTTAATTTTTTAAGATCCTTGCATGGAGAATCGCCAATGCTTTAGAATCTTTTTATTCGATTTCTATTCGAGCCAGGCAGCCAAGTTTCTCTCAATTTTGTTTTTGACTATTGTCTTGAGGTATAGAGGCATGCTAAATGTCTCTACAAGGTCATCACTATCATAGCCAGCCAGGCAGGCACCACCTACGATTTGGTTTCTCTCAAGTTTGTAGTATCTTTTCGTGGGGTTATAAGGGTTAGCTGACAACGAATTTTTTCAGCACAGCATTATCTCCTTATAACTGAGGTTCCCAGATAGAATTGGTGCTCAATGTGCTTGTTTACATCTTTAGAGTAGTCCTTTTTTCATACATTTCGAGATTATTCGTGAGTAACACACTTTGTTACATCTTTTTCAGCTACAATTCTGTTTCACTATTTGATCTTTTAGCCTTTATATAGGACAGTATGGTGTATTTTTAGTAATAATGATGGTAGTAATGTCGTCCGGTCGCCATAGCCCATTTCAACGATCGATTATGGAATATTTTCACGTTTTGCCGATTTGGTTTTGATTTTAAAATGTATTTATACTAGCAGCAGGGGGTAATAGAAATTGTTGCATGGACAGAATTCCATGTCATTCCATTGAATTCTGACGACGACATGACGTTCGGAAACGATCCGCTCGTTCATTAAGTTCATGATCTCGTCTCGTCCTCTCCTTCTCGTCGTATTACGTACGTTCAGATCAATTCTGATCTCTTAAATGGATCCAGTGCTCTTCGAATATCTTCTGCAATTTCAAAGAGCTTCTATGAGCACGATAATTGTCCCTCAGATTCCAAGAATTTCGAAAGGTATGTAAAACTTTGAACCTTCACGGGCAGAAGTAAAACCTGCGTCTTACTCCGTGTCAGGGCGTTCTTATAGATAAAAAGAATTCTTGGCTCAGAATTGTTTTTTATGTAAGATGTTAGCCCTCCGGGACCGTGGACACACCTCCTGTGCATCTTTAACTATCAGAGTGGCAACGTCGGACTTTCTGCTCCACCTCGCCTCCATCTCTAACCCTCAGAGTGGCAACGTCGGACTCCCTGCTCCACCTGCTCTGTTCTACCTCGTCTGCATCACTAACCCTCATCTTGGGAGCGCAGTGAATGTATTATTGTGTTATTTCAATTGTACATTATGCTGTTATAAGTAGGAGCGTAACAACAATAGTACAACTGGAGTAATAGAACAGCATATTCATGACTTCCTACGCCGGGGGTTTGAGATGCAGAGGAGGAGGAGCAAACCGTCTAACATTAGCACGCTGGGGTTAATGATGCAAGGGAAGTGGGTTCACGGTTGCGAAAGAGTTAAGTGGAAAAAGCTAAGATTTAACGTTAGATAGGCTAATAAAAAGCAAATATCCGTATCACTTGGCCTACGGGCTAATATTCGTCCATGTGATCTCTTGTTTAATCTATTTGGTAATCATCTGTAATTCTTGAGACATTAGTTTAGTGAAAATCTTATGCAACTATCGTCTCTTCGTAAAGTCAGTTCGTTTATCGGTACATATCCGTTAGCCAAGCACCACGTCGACCCCTTGTAAAAGCTTATTTTGCGCTTGTTTTTTGCAATTGAGTAATCACTCTATGACCTAAATAAAACAATTTGAATTGTTTGTATTATCTTTGAAAAAGTCTTTCTTTCGCTGGGAGAGCAGAAATAAAATTTTTTCTCATTGAAAGGTTTCTAGCTGACCAAGGCTTTTCCTTCCAACTTTCATTAACCAATCGATAGATCAAATCGCAAGAATTCCAATGATCTATTTGCTTTCTATGGTGGACCTGGTATTACGCTGTAACAGCCAAAAGTAGATTGGGTTTCGCAAAGTCGTTTCTAATGTTCAGATAATCAATCCGTAGCTTAAATCAAAAGATTTTAAGTGATGTACTTCACTTCCGAAAAGACCATGTTATTGCGCTGAAAGAGCAAAAAAATATTTTGTTTTGCATCCATAGATTTCTCGCTGACCGAAAATTCCCCTTTGGTGTTTCAGTAATTAATCAGTAGATTAGATCTTCAGGATTTCAATGATCTAGTTAATCTCTAATATCGACCTAATATCACGCTGTAACAGTCAAAAAAAAAGG